AAGAAGTTAAATGAGAAGACTACAAGAATTAAGTATCTTAATTTCAGAAGTTCAATTCATTTTACTTTCTTATTTTCTTGCGAGAAAATGGTCTAAACAAGAACCTATGCAAAGAGACAAGATGGAAGGAAATGCACGAAAGTGGAATAAACTATCGCAAATCATAATAGAATAAATCCTCCACTCCATTGCTTGAAAAATTCCTGGATAAATTATCATTACCTCTAATTTAAAAGTTCTAAAATATTATTTTACTCCAATAACAGTTTCAGTCCTATAGCTCTATATCTAGGCATATACAAAAGAAACATCAGATTACATAATGTATGAAGCATCAAACAAAGAAATTCTAAATATTGGATACACAATATTAAGCATAGATGCGTAAAGTTTCCTTCTTCGAAACTTGTTACAATGATTCACAAAGAAGACAAGTACCCAGTAGAATTTAGACCAAAAGGAATCAATCAACTTTGGAACAAGGAAATAAATCTTCCAGGTGTTATATACACAAAATTAACAAAGCTCAAGTGTAACCATCAACATTTATATCTACCGTATTAAACTTTAGGATAAAGTGGAAGAATTATATGAGCCTAAAAAATAAGCTAATAACAGGACATAAAAAACATATACATACTCTTTGTTGTCAAGCTTCACCTCGGTTCCCCATACTCGGCAAAAGAACGAGTATCGCCTTCGTTAACGACCACTTGGAATTAGCTTCCCATCCTTACTCGTGAATGCCAGGTCCAACAAGCAATAACTTTTCCGAATTCAGCTAAATCAAACATGAAGAAATACATCAACTCAGCAAACCAAGAATATCATAGAAATACATCAACTTTTCCGAATTTAAGGATTTCATTCAATAAACTTTGTGTGATCATTCCCCTGTTCATATTTGATTTCCATCAAGCACCACTCAGAATTGGGATATCATTTCACCTTTCGAACTACTCGTCAAAACATGTTTAAGCATTTTAACTGCAAGAAGACAACAAATGTTTGAACTTGAATGTCTTTCTTATTCTCGTTTTATTTGGGAAAAGGAGGGTCATAAATTCTTCCCTTGGCTTCGAAGAAAACAACCTTAAATTTTCACTACAGTAATCATTCCAATTCATTTATCTAAGCGCATTGATCAAATTTTCAGCATAAATAAGGAAATTCATGAGTTGGAGAAAATCAAAACAATACAAAATTAAAAACCATAACCAAGCAAAGGAAGGTACAAAACCTGCAACGAATTGGGGTGCAACGAGCGGTGGTGGTTCGCGGTGGTTGGTTGGGGCTCACGAATTGGGGTGCAATAGCCACTACTCGGGGATGTGTTGCACTGCTGGTGATGGCTGGAGGTGGTTATTGTGCGCGGATCTAGGGTTCGGGATGAGTGGAACGGCAGAAATCAATGGGATCGAGAAAGGAATGGGAGTGGTGTTGGATGGTGGTTCGAAGGTGCGCGGTGGTTGGCGTGGTGGTGAAGGACCGGTGAGGTAATGACCATTTCCAATGAAGGGGTCGCAAATCCAATTAGGCGCAACCGGTAATGGTGGTTTGCGGTGGTTGGTTGGGGCTCACAATAGCCACTATTGGGGACGTGTTGGGCTGCAAGGTGATGGCTGGAGGTGGGCTGTGGCGCGCGGATGTAGGGTTGAGGATGAATGGGAGAGGAGAAGTGGATGAGATCAATAAAGGAATGGGAGTGTTGTTGGATGGTGGTTCGAAGGTGCGCGGTGGTTGGCGTGATGGCGGAGGACCGGTGAGGTAATGACCGGTTGCAATGAGAGGGTCACAAATCAAATTGGGGCGCAATTGGTAGTGATGGTTCGCGGGGGTTGGTTAGGGCTCACAATAGGCACTAGTGGAGACGTGTTGGCTGCCGGTGATGACTGGAAGTGGTTGTCGCTGCGCAGATCTAGGCTTGAGGATGAGTGGGAGAGGAGAAGCGAATGAGATGTAGAAAGGGATGGGAGTGGTGCTGGTCGTGCGGGCTTAAAGGTGATATAATTAAGTGTTAATTTACCGACGGATATATCCGTCGGTAATTAATTCTTCATTTACCGACGGATATATCCGTCGGTAAGACCAAATTCTACAATTTTATTATATCCGTCGGTAATTTCCGTCGGTAATCATTAATTTTCCGACGTCTGAATATCCGTCGGTAATTTCCGTCGGTAATCATTAATTTTCCGACGTCTACATATCCGTCGGTAAATATCCGTCGATAATAAATTATTTTCTTGTAGTGGTAACGCTGCTTTTATCTCTACTAATTCTCAAATACTATACATTTGACATAAATAACAGAAATAGTAAATTACTTAAGAACTTAAAAACAAATTTTAATTTTTAATTATATGAATAAACAATATATATACTGCCATATAAACATTTTTGTACACTATGACTTACACACAAACCGTTATATAAAATAAATTTATAGATTATTATAATAGTTATATTATAAATTATAACAATAATAAACTTTTACTGATTGAAAATGGGAAAAAGAATTATGCACAATGTGCTGATAAACTACTTTCATTTTTAATTTATGTATTATTTTTCAAAATAGAGACAGATAAAAATAGAGGGGTTAGGTATTAATAAAGAGAAAGTAAGACACATTGGAAAACAAATAAATGTTTACTAAGAATTCATGTAGATGGTTTGGTTAGAATAGCTTATAAAACACAAAGGAGTGTTAGTAAATAGCATTAACAATTATATTAGAGAAATGGATTTTCCTCTTGAAAAATCAATCAAGTTTTTAAATTAATGAAAGTAAATAAAAAGTAGAAAAAGAACTTGTTACTTCACTATGAGAATCTACTACCATTATGGGTTAGTGGACAATCAATATCCATTAAGTCTCCTTCATCAAGATGAAATCATGGAAAGGAGGTGGGTCATTCCAACCAAAAAGTGTGAGTGAGTGTATTAGTACTTATGAGTGCAACTTGTTCACCGAAAGTGTTATGATTAATTGTAAGAATACTTGAGTTTGTAGTTTATCTAAAATATCTGATGGGTGTTTAGACGATTATGTTCAAAATATTACTTTATTATCTTTTATTTAAATTAGATATTAAGAGATTTTATTATCTTTTAAGAGAGAAGGTAAAAAGACATTATTAGGTTATTATTTTGATTTAGACAGTTATGATTGAGATATTATGAATATTTGATATTTTGTAATATTTTTACTCTATATATAGATAGAGTACATAAATAAAAACATATCCACATGATATATCAGAAATACATATACACAAAACCCTAAAAAATTCTCAACAAATTGGTATCAAAGCTTTGGTTCGACACAATGGAAGGAGAAATAAATTTTTCACTTGCTATTCTAGTTTTTTATGGCGAAAGTTATGACTTATGGGCTGCGAGAATGCAATCCTATCTTGAAGGATTTGATGTATGAGAAGTTGTACAAGAATATTATATTGTTGATCCACTGCTTGAAAATCCCACCATAGCTGAAATGAAATTTCATAGAGAAAGAAAAACGAGAAAGGCAAAAGCTAAATCATGTCTGTTTGCTGGTGTTTCACAAATGATCTTCACCAGAATCATGATGCTAAAGTCACTCAAAGAGATTTGGGATTATTTGAAAGATCAATATGAAGGGGATGAGAAAATTCGAGAAGTGCTACATGTTTTACAAGCACAAGAGCAACGAAGATTGATGAAAGGAGATGCTGCGGGTGAAGGTTCTTTACTATATCATAATGAAGGTTCTGTCCAAGTCAAAAACAACAAAGATACAAAATCACGAGTCTTTTCTGTTTGTCCTTATTGCAAGAAAAATAATCACACCCAACAAGTGTTGGTGGAGACATGATGTGAAAGGTCACAAATATGGTTAATTGGGACATATAGAAAAGATATGCAAATCACAACCAAAGGAAGTCGTTCAAGTTATAGATGATAGAATAGAAGAGGTACTTCTCCTTGGATCAACATGTTCTACAATTAACAAATCCACACATTGGCTTATAGACAGTGGTTGTATAAAACACATGACTCGTGATCGAAAACTTTTCAAAGAGCTCAACGAATCACATATTTCTAAAATGAGAATTGGTAATAGAGAAGAAATGGATGTGAAAGGTACGGGAATAATTGCAGTTAAAATTCATTTGGGTATCAAATTGATTTTTGATGTTTTATATGTCCCTGATATAAATCATAATTTGTTAAGTGTTGGTCAATTATTGAAGAAAAGTTATAAGGTGTCTTTTGATCACAAACTTTATGTGATTAAAGATACAAATAACTTGAAAATATTCAAAGTTCACGTGAAAGGAAAAAGTTTCATTTTAGATTTGACGAAAGGAGATTTCTTGAAGGAACTTGATATTAAGGAAGAAAATAAAGATGTAGATGAAGAAACCATTTTCAATGTTCTTCAAAGAGTCAACAATACTACCATGAAGTTTGAAAGAAACAAAGGAGATGAAGTTGATAAAGGAAGAAATATATTGATGAAGAAAGTGAAGTTGAATGAAAATGTGATCTCATACAAGAAAGAAGATGACAAGAAGTATAAACAAAAAAGGAGGAAAAATTATAAGCAAAATAAAAAAATTTATCAAATTCAAATAAATAGATATTAAAGTAAGGAGGAATGTTGGGAATATTACTTTATTATCTTTTATTTAAATTAAGTATTAAGAGATTTTATTATCTTTTAAGAGAGAAGGTAAAAAGACATTAGGTTATTATTTTGATTTAGGCAGTTATGATTGAGATATTATGAATATTTGATATTTTGTGATATTTTTACTCTATATATAGATAGAGTACATGAATAGAAGCATACCACGTGATATATCAGAAATACATATACACAAAATCCTAAAAATATTCTCATGAGATACTATCTGTGTTTTTTTGCCCAACATTTGTTTAGGATAAACAACACTGGTGTGAGTTGTCTAGCCCAAGTTGATGCCAGCTCAATATATTATTTAAAGAAATCATCATGCAGGCCAGGAAATAAAAACTTTTAGGTATACCTGAGTTACAAGAGCATATAATGGAAGGGTGATGTAGCTGCAGAGGCATAGCATCGCAATCCTGCAAACCCAGTTAGAATTAATCAAATTAGTTATGATATTATCGGAGGCATCCATAAGATTCCCTTAAAAGCAAAGAGATAGCCTCAAATAACAACAGAAGGCACCAATTAAAATCCAAAAATGTATTCTTATGCAGCCGAGAGAATTTCAGAAGAAAAGGCTTACCCTATAGCTACTTTTATTGTTGCAAGCTTGTAATCAGTGCGAAAACAGTTTTTCACCCCAAAAGAATACTGCAAATAAAAGAAGTGTTTTTTATTAATCTAGAATATGGAGAACAAAAACACATAAAACCAATAGTCAATTGTCATGAGCTTCATTACCCATATCCACAAGATATATGTTACTTGGAACGCATTCTGCAAGTGTGAGAAAATCGGTTAGTTGCTAACTTCTCTAAAAAATAAAATAAAGCCACTTCAGATGTACATTTTAACTCTAACAAGTACAAAAGCAAGTTTAATAGGCAGTTTGATATCATTGCTAACAGAAGATCGGTCAAATTCTTTCAAATTGGATTCTATAAATTTGAATTTGCAAATTAGAAAATCTCATTGCTTTTATGCTGTTTAATGTTTATCATAAAAGAATATGATTTGCCTGAACGGACAGACAAGTTATTTTCTGCATCATAGATAAGGTTGCATTCAACTACAAATCAAGGCTTATTTGGATACAAGCTAGAAGAGATTTTTAGAATCTCTACCAAAAATATCTAGTTTTTTTTCAGTAAAAAAGTTTTCAAAAACTCTTCTAGTTTTGTAGTTTCTAATACTAAAAGGAAATCCATTGAATACCTTACCTGGAACAAAGCAAAATGGATAAGATGAAGAACCAACTGCGGCCGACCAAACCAAAAGTGTTTGTCTGAGCCTTGGACAAGAGGCATGCCTTGGACAACTGCATGTCTTTCGGTGATATCAAGCGCCATCTTAGCCAATATGGCTTGAAGTTTTGTTCCAACAGCCAAAATTATCTGCAACCAATCAAATGACTTGTTACTGATGATCCCAGCCAGTCAATTTGAGAATTTAATAGACAGAGAACAGAATGCTCACAATAACAGGAACAAAGGCTGCCCAAAGTGCAGTATGCCATCCTGGAAATTGTATCAATTGAATTTAGCTGAATTTTCAACTACAAAATTAACAAATTCCATAGGACAACAAAGTTGCTTACCATAAACATTGATGAGAAGGTAAACTACAACTGATGCCCAGAGGACAGGACTGTCAACAACATAGTCAGCACACCAGTCAAATCTACAAGGAAAAACCTTACATAATAATATAAGGCTGCATGCACATTTTACTGTTGTCAGTGTTACCTTACTCCCACAACCACCTTGAAGTCATCTTCAAATGATCTTTTGATATACTTTTGGAAATTAAATTTACTTCCAGGAGCCAGGTGTATCTATATATACATAATTCACTGTCAGTATAGAAAAAAGGTAAATCCACAACGAAAAGAACATATTCTTCTACAAGAAGTATTGACTCACATTGATAAACCCATTACGCAAAGTTTGGTAATCAGTCTTATTTACAGACCAATAAAACTGCCTAAAGAAGCAGCGCTGAAATTGGAAAATGAAAGATACGTAACATCATTACTCTATAATAAGCAAGAGAAATATATACAAGGTATATATAATTTGATTCTCTAAATCACTGCTCAATTTTATTACTCAAATTAATGCCACTAAAGTACCACCTTTCTGTTTCTTTAATTAATATTACATTTCTATGAAAAAGCCTCTATCTTGTCACCAAAATTAGACTAGAGATTAGTAAGATGGACCCTACAATATAGAAGAAGATGGGAATCCTTGTCCAAAAATTGGCATGAGCTCTCACGAATGATGTTTCATGAGTAAGCCTAAATCTTGAAGCAGCTGCACACATGAATAGGAAGTGCTCAAATATAGGCATGAGATTTCATGATATTAATAGTATTTTAGAAGTAAAACTGAAGGAAAACGTATACATTGTTGGAACCCATACCATTGGCGAACTCATAATTATGAGTTGAAGTCTCTTCCTCCCATGCCTTCCATCCACGTATCTGCAGGAAGAAAACTCTGAGGTTTGCAACTTTAACAGAACTATAACGGCATTTAAGGCACAAAGACCAAAAATGTATAAATCTTTTAGACTAACATTCCGAAAGCAAGAAGAAAAAGGCATATGGTTGAGTAACCCTCTACTCAATATCCTTGTAAAGAAATGGAATAAACATTTGAACTAGTCTAAAAAATATAAAATAACAAACAGACCTTTAGTCTTCCAAGAAGCATTGTGATAGCACTGTAAAGCACATGAAAGACTGCTAAGAAGAATATGAGGATATGTAACTGGTGCAAACCATTCACGGACAAAAGTGGCTCGTCTCCCTGTAACCACCAACAATTATATAACCCACCATTCTCAGGAGATAAGATAGCAAATAAAGTCAGGCAGTGAAAAATAAATTCTTTAGATTGTTCTTACACAAGTAAAGAGGATACATCAAAATACCATTATAACTATAAAGAAGAGGTGGTAACTACAAAGGATTTGCATAAGACAAAACTGTGAATAAACATTGAGAATCACTGTAAAAACTATTATTATTCTTTACAACAATTGATGAAAGAACTACCTAATGAGCAATTTTTTCAAATAGAAAATTCTTCAAGACACTATTTAGCTTTCAGAAATGAACAAAGAATAGATTCCAACAAACAGCCAAAGTTTAATTTATAAAAATAAAAAAAGAATAAGGGAACAGAGTTATACCTCAGCATTGCATTTAAACGAGGTAGAATCAGCAGCTAAATATCTACGTTCATAAGCAAAAAGTTTCCTACGATGGTTCCCTCCACTGTTTGATGCCTTGTCTGCCTCCTTATATTTATACGGACATGGCAACATTTTGTCTGCGAGTTTTGCAGGAATACATATTTTGACAATGTAACTCTGCCCGAAAGTCAAAAGAAGTGAAATGAAACCTAAAATCATCAACTCTGCAAGAGGTAAAAAATGAATGAATAAAATATACTAAAATATGACAAATGAAATTATTAGTTATTATTGTATATGAAGCTCGAAAAGAGGCCTTTGACTTAAAATTCTTACCAGCCTTGACCTTCTCCAGAGCTTCGAGCAAAGCCTTCTTCTGCTTTTTTCCAAGCCACTGAACAAATTTTCAACGGATGAGGGACAGAATACACTAGAGAATTCCAATAAACACCCATCATGATCATTGATCACAACAAGTAAAAACGGAGAAGAGACAAAGAAAAATCTCACTCTATGAAAACATAAACATAATCACCACAATCAAAACTTCTACTTAAATTTAGTGTTACAACAAACTTGCATGAATTATTACAACCATATATTGACTAAGACATCTCTTGATTTCGAATGAAACAAAACTATACTCATTAAATTGAATCAATCAAATAAACTGTATGGAAGATGACAATTTCAATTTAAATTCGTATTGTGAAAATTTCTCACATAGACAAATAAGGAGAACCACAAAAAAGTGACAAGGCAGATAATGTCACGGTTAACTGGAGATTAATCATCTCCAAGGGTACAAAGTAAAAAAATAAATAAAAATAATTTTGGTATTCAAATTAAGTCAAAGGAGTCATAAATTGAGAGCAAGCAGTACCGTATTTTTTTATTTTTTTTTAAACGAATTGAAGAGATGAAGAAAAGACAGTTAAATTCAATGGCAAACGCACAGCGAGAGATTTAACGACAACCATAATTACAAAAAGAGAGGTTCAGAGTTTCATTCATTCATTAATTGCGTACCGCCCCAACTTTGTGGAGACTTTTTTCGAGTACTATGGATATCAAGATGAAAACAGTGCACACGACAGCAACGGCCCACGTTGGTGTCTGGTCGAGATCTTTGGAACTGCTGCTACCTTCACTCGCTGCCATGGCCAAACCTCCAAACCATGATAACCACAAAGACAACACAACCGCACAAGAAAACAGCTTTCTAAACTTTGAACTATTCATGGACACTATTAGAACGAGGGGAAAAGTGGGTTGTGAGAAAGAGTTCTTAACGATTCATGTACGAATTATGTGTCGGTGTTCCTTGGGAAGAGAATATAAAGAAGGAGGCTTTATGTAGGACCTATGAGAGCTGGTTAAATAGATGGAAGGAACATGAGAGGCGCGTAAAAGGGTGTGTGAAGATCGGAGAAGAAGCATGTGCTGATGGATTAAGGCGGGCTCCTATACTGTCCCCATCGTTTATAGCACTTACATTGTTTTTAAGGAAACAAAATATAAATCATGTTTCTCTCTCATTTTTTTGTTATTACTAACATTAAATAATAAATGTACACACAAGATATTTTACATGTATTTTTTAAAAATTTATCCTTTTTAATTATATACTTATTTTTTAATTATATTTATTGTAGAGCCAATATAAAAAAATTTATTAAAATTGATTTTGGATTGAAATAATAATAATAAAATTTAATATTTATATTAATCATAATATTAAACTATTTATAAATAAAGCGAGTAATACATAAATAAAAAATTTATTTATTGAATAAGTTTAAGTAGAGGTTGAAAAAAAAGATTTTTCACAGAATAATGATATAGTTGGTTTGGTTTAAACTCGGAGTACAAATATAAATAAATTGATATAAATATTTCAATTAAAATTATTAAATTAGTTAAAGAACCAGATCAAATGAACAACTCAGTCTTATTTACGAAGATAAATTTTTGGAACAATTTCATCTTTATTATAAGTGGTAAATGGTGGACTGAATTAATTATTTGTCTTCTGAAGCGAATATTTCTTTCAGAGTCTCTTCGTTTTGACACGTTCTGTATATTAATGGTTCTGATATGAAAATAAACTAATGCTGCATGATCAAGAGGGGATGTGCTGATACGATATATTATAATATCATAAAAAATAAAATGTTCTGCAGCACTTGAGGACAACCCAAGCTTTTAATGCATGTCGTGACAAACAATTTCTGGACTCTATTTGAATTTCTCTCTTTTTTTATTAAAAAAATAATACTATTATATTCAACCACAGCATAAATAAAGCTCATTATTTAATATTTGTATATAAAATAAGAAAATTATATTCGACGAGGTCAATTATCTTAAAATTTTGAAGAAAGAATGATGTTATGTTTTTATTTGCGAAAACTTTTTGTGTAATTTTTGAAAAATATTCTTCCATTTGAACTGTAATTAATACAGTTTGAGTATTTTGGTGAAATATGTGAATATTTCTTTTGGTGAAATTTTAAATGTTAGTTTGTTATGTTATAAAATTAATTGTTTGAAGAGTTAAAATTAATTTAGGATATATTTGGACAAGATTTTAGAAGCGAAAAAAAAAACATTTTTTTATCCGCTAAAAGTAATTTATAAATACTCTTTCATATATTCTAAAATTTTATTGTTGTGAATAAATAAATGTTAGCTTATAACAAATATTTTTATATTTTGTTTCTTTTATGAAAGTTTCTATGAGAAAAAATAAATCCAAACAAATCTTTCTGCACTCGATATTTTTTTCAATTTTTTTATTTATATAATAATAGTAGTAGTAAAAATTATGAATTTTTAAAGTGATTATTAGTAAAAGTTAATGAAACGTATTTGTAACAGTTTCAGTCTGTAACAGTTAAAACCCAAGTCAACTTTGAACGACGTTAATATTAAATAAAAAATTACATGTTGCAAAAAAAATATTAGTTTAAAATTTGAAAATGTCTATCCTAGACCTAACAAGTATTGCACTTAATATTATTAATATTGTAATGCGATTTGAATTTATAACTATTAAATTTACAACTAACTGTCGTTCTTAATTTTTGTCAATGGTATTATTCAACAAATAAGAGAAACTATCCAAAACCATTGTTCATTCCCCCCATACGTAAGCATCAACTTCTTATCTTATGAGAATATATAACAACTTTGTTGCTAATTCATTTATGAGTACATATGTAAAACTAATAGTTTTACATGGTCATTTAATCATCAATAGTTTAAGTTTTTAATAAATTCTTGAAGAGCTACATCTAAACTAGTATTTAATTAATTGATATATGAATCTTCCCCTTGAAAATATATAAAACATTATGAATACCAATATATAAAATTGTTGTTTTTGGTTTTGATTAGTCTGGTTATAACAACCTTAATGTTTAATGAAGATTATGTTGATTATTATGAAATATTGAGATAACGTTAAAAACATTAAAAACTGAGGGGAAGTTATGCTGAGGAATTGGGAAACATACGTGTTGAATATTTTGCGCTGAATCATTTGTCCTTATTTCATGTTTCATACTTTGCATTGAATATTTTGCGCTGAATCATTTGTCCTTATTTCATGCTTCACACTTTGCATCATAAGTAAGTGACACGTCACGTTTATATGCAATATTCGTTATCTAAATATTTGTAATATAACATCTATCATTACAAGTATCTCGGTAAGAAGAAAGGTGAAGTTATGTTTTTTAAATGTTTTGTTAGTAATCGAAAAAATATCTTATTATTATTATTATTTATTTTATTAATAAAAATAATAATGTCTTTCGATTTTTCTTTTAATATTTAATTTTATTGTAAATGTGTGGATTCACATGTATATAGTAACACAAATTGACCTATTAAAAGTAATTGATTAATCTGCATTCATTTGAAAAGTATGTCTCATATACAGGAGTGAAAAGAAAAAGGAGAAGTTGGTATTGTGGAAAGTGGGGTCCTTAATTGTTGAATTAGCAAGTTGTGTACTTTTGACTAACCTAATATACTAAGGGATCATACTTTTTTCTTTTTTCTTTTTCTCTTTTTCACATTTTTATCTTTTAACATTATTCTAATTATCTCTCTTATATATCATTAGGGTTGTGAATATGAGTTTTAACCTATGAGCCAACCCGGCTCGCTACTGAGTTTGAGTCGGGTTGGGTTCAATTTTTTTATTTCTATCGATTATGGGTTAAAAATAAACTCGACTCACTTAACCCACGAGTTAAACGGGTTCGAGCCGAGTTATGGTGGGTTGGTCCGCAATCCATCATTAATTTTAAATTTTAAAAATAATTATAATAATATATTAACCTTAATTAATCATTTATTTTAAATTTTAAAAATAATTATAATACTTTAGTAACCCTAATTTATGTTATCATATCTTACTTCTATCCTACCTACATTGTTGGCTGTTGCCACAAGCCAAACCCTCACTTAAACTTGTTATCAGTTATTCACTACACCGCTACGTTTATTGTTGCACTTGGGTCACTTGTCTTATTATCTATTCACCGCACCACTACACCATGTCTACTGTATTGCTTTCAAAGGTAAGAATTTGTTTCATAACCTAAACTATTTGATTGATAAATCTTTATTTGAAAATTGTAGCATCTATACATTATTTGTTGTTTGTTATTGATTTATATGTATATCTCTTTAATATATGATTTTTTGACTTCTTTCTTTTAAATTAATTTACGGTATGGAATCTGAAACAATGCATCAAAGTGTCAAGGTAAACAATACATCTGAAACAATATATGATTTTCTTATTAATGAAAAATCCAATGAATCAATTTCGAGTTAATAACGAAGATACTGATGTTGAGAAAGAAAGAAAACATAAGTTTCTACATCCGAAGTTTCTATATAATTTAAAAAATTAAAAAAATATGGGTTAGTGAGTCAACCCACCTAACCCACCAACTCGTTGTGGGTTAAGTCAGGTTGTAAAATTTCTGACTCGCGAAAAAGTGAGCCGGATTGAGCTCACCTATTTTCAACTCAACTCATATGAACCAGATTAGCTCACTTTGACACTCATATCATTCATTTTGCTTCCTCTTTCTCCATTAAGAAATAATCTCTCTTTTAATATTCTAAAATAACCTAGTCTCCATGTAAGAAACAAAACATAGAAAGAAAAAAAAATAAAGTAAAAAAATTATGTAGTTAGAGTGAAAAAAATAATGAAAAAGTAAATTAGGTTAATAATATTTTAATTCGTTTTATAAGTAAATGTTTATAAAATAAGTTGGTTTGGCTTAGTGGGTTTCAATATTCAAACCATCTCAATAAAAACAATTTAAATAGTCTACAAAATTAATTACTTAATCAAATTTAAAAGTATATTTATAAAATATAATAATAATCTATAATAAAATATTTATTATATACATAATATCAAATCGAATTATAGAAATATATTAAAAGAATTTAGCTATCTTTCGATTGTGCTAAAATATTAGGGTACAATATTGATTCCCTTAAAATAAATTAAAAGAAATACTAAATTATATCTAGAAATCACAACTTTTGAATCAACTTTGATGTTAATATTTGACATTGTAATTAAAAAAATGAAAATGGCCTTCTCTTAGCCAAATCTTACGTTTGGTGCAATGAAAATTCTGCAATATTATTTGAATTCTTTTGTTTAACTCACCGTGGGGGATGATCTCACTTAAATTAATATATATTTGTTCAGATGTTTACAATTAATTTCCCTACAAAAACCGTAATGTTCGTTGAGATACAAACTTCACCAAATGAAAGCTTACGAAAATTTTATATAAAGATTTATAAAATTTAATTAATTAAAAAATTTTGTATTTAAAAAATGTAGTGAAATGTATTCAAACTTTTTTTCCACTTATAGTATTCCATACGAAACCATATGGCCTAAAAGTTCCAAAGACGTGAGCTTTCATAACTCTCGAAAATGATTAGAACTAATTCAGAGTGATAAGTAAAATATATTATGCTGAGATTTGTCAGAGCAATTAATGTATATTAGAATATTTTATAATTTTTTAGGTAAAACTGTATTTATCTTATAAGATTAAATTATATAACTTTTTAATTTAATAAATATTAATTTATTTATATTTTTAATA